AGGCTTGTTCTCAACTCACTAAGTCATTAGCAGTAAAGAATGAAGTACAACAATATCACATTAAACAGAACAACACTGAACACGCTACTACACCCCCTCCTTCTGAACTCTTCCACCCTGAAGACAGTCTTGAAACCTGGCTGGAGGTCTCCTCCTTCTCCTGGAACACTCCCTTAGGGGTCTACAACTTTCCTGTTCCGGAACTAAGTCCTCCCCATTCTGTGAACAATCCCTCCTGATCACTAGCGGCCAGTTCAACTGGTTTGGGCACCCACCCTCGGTACCAAACTGTGGTAATGCAGAGCCCTGGTATGGGTTTATCCTGATGTAATGCCACTAATGCCCTCAGGGAGGCAGCTGCACTCAATACACAACCTCACCCAGTTTCTCCAGTATTGTGCATGTCCTCACCCAGTGACTGTCCAGTGTTGGGCATGTCCCCTTCTACCTAACTAACTCTCGGTGGAGCATCTGGCAGGTGTTCTGATCTCCATACCCAACCTGAGCAGGGCTGGAGAGCATGAGCTTGAGTCCTGAACTGCTGTGCAACGTATCATAAGGGCTAGAGGCAGATGTACATCCCAGTCCAACTGATCAATGAAAGTTAACATGGACCAGCATTGCATAAGCCATTTTGTGAAATACTTTATAATGGTCAAGACTAAACAACTTCCCTGTTTGGAGCTTGAGAACAGAGTAAGAATGCCCACACCTACCCATAGACATGTCTCCACTACCAGAAACTGCTGCATCTGGACCCTACATTGTTCTTGTAAACCCTTCTGGGCTGTACACAGACCACAGTGCCTACAGCAGTTCTCCACGTCATGTCTCATTCACCAACCTTTGAGTTTCTGCCTCTAGTCTAGTTTTGGATCCTATTTTCCACCAGCTCAGACACATACACCTGTTGTGGCTCTTTGCACACTGGTTCAGGGCTGTTGCTGCCCCTGCCTCCCGGTGTGCAGTTCATTCCCCCGGCTGCTCTTCTGCATTCCTCCCCACTATATGGCCTTCTAGACAGAGCATCAGCTTAAGCATAGCAAACCCCTGCATGATGTGTCCTGGTAAACTGTTAACCCTGCAGTTCCTCAAGTCAAAGAGCCATTTGGCCATCAGGCTCCTTGAAGAGCATGATCCACTGTAGTTGTGCATGGTCTGAGCACACAGAAATGCTGACTGCACAAATCATACTTGAAATGTCTGATGGCAAACAACTCTTGTCGTGCACTTCTCTCCTCAGAAGTTGGCACTTATCGTGATTTACCATCAGCCCTGCAGATCTCATTCTCTCCAGCACTATTCTCAAGGCTGTGACTGCAGCAATGATGAAGTTCCCATGTGCCAAGATGTCCTCCAGAAACACTAGACACAGCTGCTTTGGAATGTCCTCGAGTGTCCTCATCATTAGGTGCCCAAAGGTTGCAGCAGATTCCAAAAGCCAAAACAAAGAACTTTAATTTGGCAAAAAAGCCTTTACCGGTGCAAAGAGCTGTTTTGGGTGGAGCTTCTGGTGTCAGCGCAACTTGCCAGTATCCACTTTTTAAATCTAGGGAGTTAAACCAGTAAGACTCCGCCACCACATTCAGACATTCACCAACGCTGGGAAGGGGATCCGAGTCTTCTGGTCACTGCATGTCAGTCCATCCATGTGACGGACCTCTGGAGGGCTCATCTTCACTACAAGTCCAGTGCTGAACCGCATTGTGGTCTAACTTAACAGCCATGATTCTTCAGTAAGGCCAACTTCAAAATATAGCGGTCGTGTAGCTCAGCTATCCATACCAGATGCTGCAAGTGCTGACTTCACACTCAGTGTCAACAGACCCCTTCCTTTCATAAGTGCCGCTGTCCAAGTGCCGGCCACTGTCCGGAGCTGAACTGCAGTGTCTTCTGTGTCTCTATGGGCACTACTACTGCGCCCCCTTTCTGTCTCCCATCAGCCAAGTGTCCGTGATGTGTGTGTAGTTGAGAGGGTGAAGGTCTCTGATGAGCTGATCTCAGGCTAGCTCCCCCTGCACTGATGGTGGAGTATGTGCAAATGCTCGTAGTGCCGGGAGTCCTCTGCCTACTGTATAACTCAGATCTGAAACACTGCCTCAATGCCTAAACAGTGCATCACCTGAAAGTGCATCATCAGTTCAGCAGGGCGAGCTGAGGAGCTTTGTGGTCCCTTGACCAAGCATATGCAAGGGCTAATAGTTCAAAGTGACCATGAAGAACCCGTCACTGCGATCTGCCGGAGTATTCTGGCTCTTAACTCAACTACTGAACTCACCCAAACACACAGCAGCTTCACATAGAAGATCATAGTCCAGTTCTATCCTCACTGCTGAGAGTCCAAACACTGACGAGTAAATCCATCCATGCACAGCTCTACAGATCCTGAACCATGTGAGACAGTGGAGGAACAAACTTCACCAACTGACCAAAGTGAAGAATTAAAAGACCGGGAGAGAAGCCGGGCTCAGCTGGACTCCACCATTCTCCTCTCCTCTTGTGCAGAGCTGCAGTCTAGGAGCCGGAGGTGTCCATCGTGGAGAAGCCTGGAATTATTACTGATCCAGCATCCACGACAGACCTGAGGGAGTGTGTTCAACAGGTGACACACACACACACACACACACACACACACACACACACACACACACACACACACACACACACACACACACACACACACACACACACACACACACACCAGAGGGAGGGAGGGAGAGAAAGCACACATAAATAGAGAGAGAGAGAGAGAGAGGCTCGCACACACACACACACAAACACACACACACACAGAGGGAGGGAGAGAGAGAGAGAGAGAGAGAGAGGCAGGCTCGCACACACACACACCCTGGAGTTTCCCCAGCAGTTGTCCTCCTGTCTGTCAGTCAGTCTCTCCCTCCGGATCCTGGATGAATCAGACGGCCAGTGTTTCTCACCCGGTCAGATGTCGGTCCTCCAGGAGCATCGCAGTGAGTGTTTCAGCTTTATTACTGTACAGTTATTATTACTAGAGCTGTTCCTGCAGCTGCTGTCTAATCAAACACAGCTCATCAATAATCCTCATTCAGCTGATCTGATCAGGTGTGTGTGTGTGTGTGTGTGTGTGTGTGTGTGTGTGTCATGAGCTGAGTTTAGTGCTGCTGTAAGGAAAAAGTCAAAATGACCCAAATAACACACACACACACACACACAAACACACACACACACACACACACACACACACACACACACACAGCGCAGCGACCCCGTCCAGATTCCAGAGTCTGAGTGTGTTTGTGTGAGCGCTGAGCGCAGACATCTGCCATGTTCATCAGGACATTCACACTGAATCCAGGAGAGCGGGGCTGAACCCTGAGCTGGATTATTGATTCTGTATTGCTGATCAACTCTCCAGAGCAGAACTCACAAGAGAAACAACAGAGAAGCAAACAGCAGAGTCCTGATCTCAGCTCAGCCGCTGCGTTCATGTGTTGAAGCCCAAACACCAAACATGACCATACACACACACACACACACACACTGATACTGTGATGATGCCCGCGCACCGACACGACATCTGCCCTATATCGCGCTGTGTGTTCTGCAGAGTGTGTGTGTTCTGCAGTGAGTGTGTGTGTTCTGCAGTGAGTGTGTTCTACAGAGTGTGTGTGTTCTGCAGTGAGTGTGTTCTGCAGAGTGTGTGTGTTCTAGGACTGCACAATGCTTGTATGGTGTGTGATATTGGTGTATTGTGATCGGGTTATCGGGTGATCGTGACATTTCCCGGCCTCGTCTCCCATCACTGGTGTCCATGATGAGCTCGGGGTTCACCTTCTGGCCAATAACAGAACAGCACCGACTGGGTTAGGGTGTGCAGTATTCTGCTGGGGACCAGAATCGTGATTCCAGTGCGTCTCTAATGATGAGCTTTCCATGATCAGCTGTACCTGTGTGGAGGACTGCTGGACATCTCACACCCCTGCAGAAGATCAGGGACATGACAACGCTGGATGGAGAAATGATGTTGAGCATCAGGGAAGATGAAGAGCGAGAGACAGAGAGAGAGAGTCAGAGAGAGAGAGAGAGAGAGAGAGAGAGAGAGAGAGAGAGAGTCAGAGAGAGAGAGAGAGAGAGAGAGAGAGTCAGAGCGCTGTGTGCTTCTGCAGGACAGAGAGAAGAGGAGGAGAAGCAGCAGTGAGGGGTGAACTGAGAAGACGAGACCAGAACTGAGCCCTGAGGGACACCTGAGCAGAGGAGCCGGGTCTCTGAAACCTGCAAATATGATTGGAACAACTCTCTCTAGACCTGTGTGTGTGTGTGTGTGTGTGTGTGTGTGTGTGTGTGTGTGTGTGTGTGTGTGTGTGTGTGTGTGTGTGTAATTGATCTGCGGATGCGGTTGGTTCCTCTGTTATCATGAGCAGTTCTTTCAACACACACACACAGGTTGGT